TTCAACTTTCACAGTTAGATATAAAACCTGACACTCACTCGCAGCTATTGTATAAAAACCATTTGGTACTAATGGACAAGGAATTCCTAACCCGGACATAGTAAAGACCAGAGAGTTTATCGTCATTCAGGTCAAGTATGACTCCATATGACGGTCAATACCTTTGCAATTAATAGGGCTGCTTGTGCATGGAAGTATCTACTTCCTCAAGACGCAGATACAACAATCCCTATGAGAACCAGAGAAGTATTAATGCAAAATTAAAGGTTTTGAATGAAGGCCAAGATTGCTTATTTTAGTATTCAATGTAAAATGTTTGCAAATCCCAAATGACAGCACTGTTCCAGTTTCCTAATTCATGGGAATCAAAACATGGTGGCTGTGTAGAAAATGAATGTTAAAACAAAGGTAATGTAATTGTCACTGCAAGTCAATGCAGGGTGCACAAGCATGAGCACAGACAGCAGGATGAGGGAGGTGACTGCTCCCTTCTGCTCAGCACTTGTGAGACCACATGTGAATACTGTGCCTGTTTTGGGGCTTCACAGCTCTCAGCAACCTCATTCAACTTCAGAGTATATCCTGCACTGAGTGAGGAAAAGGGCAGCATAGGTGGGGAGAGGACCAAATGATGTTCAAAGGTCCCTTCCAACCTAAACAACTCTACAATTAACACATTTGCACTGTCCATGCTAACAGATGGGTAAAACCCGTAACCAAGCAGCACTACTCATTAGGGGACAGTCGAGCACTGGTTAATAGCATCACTAGGAAAGCTAGGCGAGCCTTTCTAGAAGATCCAGGTCAGAGGCGCACAAAGCTCAGCTTGAGTCATGCTTCACGCTTTACTGCAGACCTAGGTCTGTTCTTTCTGTACTGTGTCAACTCAGGACATTCCCCCAAAGGCTGTCAACTGACATGTTTCATTGCTGCATCATTCAGCTAACTAGAAAACACAAGCAACCCACATCCCACAGTGAGGGTGGTGTTCAGAGTTTACTATCAAGCATGCTAAAAAATGCAACATGCCCTGTGTAACCTTTAGGTGTATTCCCCCAGCAAATGTAAATCCATACCCGTACTCCATATCACAAGAGAAGACCTAAAGACCCCTGGAAAAGACCTAAAGACCCCCGGAGAAGAATTAAAAAAGACATCAGTGAGGTCAAGTGCAACATGGTACTAGATTAGTCAAGTAGATCTTTTAATGACTAATACTTTAAGCATGTGGTGCAGTAGGGCTCAACATTTTCTACAGAGGATGGTACTTCTATGTGCTAGGCACTACACAAACACACAGAAAGTCCACAGCCCAAAGACAGCAAGATATAAACAAGCAACAAAGTAGATGGATACTGTCTGGGAAAATGCCAAGGGTACATATTTGCTTATTTGTGTGTGTCCCAAAATTACTAGTCACAAGCCAAGCTTAGCTGTATTCATTCCCTACAGAAGCGGTTGGTTACCACTGTATCTAGATCCAGAAAGGGCAATGAACTGCATGTGTTATTCTCTTTTGTATATTCACAGAAAGTGTTGTTATCTTTATTGATACACTGTTATGACTTATCAGCTTCCAAATACCAAAGATTACATATCATGGTTTCAATCCAACCTCCCTGGTTGAGAGGAACATTTCTTACACAATGGATTAATGATTTGTTTATGTTTGAGAATCTGGACAGTTGTTAACATGTTGTGTTTATCCTCTGAACAAAGATAGTTTGGCTTCACTATAACCAGAAGGAAATCAGGATTTCTAAAAATAGGCTGAGGTGGACAATAATCCTTTAGGAGCTGTGACACACACTGATATCCGAAAGAGAAAATGACCACATAAGGAACAGAACATCCCTACATCCATGGTCTCTTCAATGAGTACAGTATTCAAGGAGAAAGTCACATCTAAAAAGCTGTGTAAGCATCTTGACAGCTAGTTAGTTGGATGACACATAAAACCTCTTGGAGCTGGATCTAAAACATGGATAATTAGGTGTTTGGTTTTCTTTTATTTCTGTTTATCTGCAGAACTTCTTTTATTATACTCTGGGCTGCAGACAGAAATTATTCTTGATTTTTATTTCAAGGTTTGTCTCTAGAACAAAAATTATTTCCAGGGTGCTGGTTGGCAAATTGAATTCCCACAGCATGTTAATCTTTAAAACTGCACCACATAAAAGCTCTTTCACAGCCCTTAGCACCTTCATACAAGACCAAAGGATAACCACTATGTGCCTCAACCTAAAGAGCTTTCCCAAATATTTAACACCACAGCTATTCACTGGACCTAGCCATTTTCCAGGTAGCTCTGATTACATGCAGCATCTGACTCCCAAGGCTTGAAAGCACAGGAAAAGGAGCCAGAAGGACACTGACAGACTATGAATCTGCTCCCACAATTGTAATTTAAGTATTTCCTGGTTTAAGATCAAGGTGGGCAATGCCCACTGCTGGAACTCTCAGAGTATCGGTTTGCCATCTGTAAAATGGGTTCCTCCAGCCTTGTTTGGACAGGGCAGGAGAAGTGAAGGTCTCCTGCTCCACCTACATCTACTGCCTGGTACAGCAGGGCTCTGGGTTCAGCTGGACCCCCAAATGCTTCCACCACACAAGTATGAACAATAGCAAGCTCGCCTCTGTTGAATGTTTTCCCCCAAATAACTGCTTCAGCTATCTGCACCAGTTTGCATCTGTGTTCTACACACCCGCAGAAACGTTTTGACCTATTATTTGTAAGACCACTGGACAAATATATCATTCATCAGCACAACCACCCAATTATAATACAGCTGCAGCGATCTCTCTGCCAGCTGGTGCTTTGTGTAAATGACCCATTCCAGAAGAATAGGCTTCCTGTTTTTTTTGTGGGTTCCCTCACTACCTGCTTAATCATCAAACCATACAAATTATGGAGTGAAATGAACTTTGGCACCTGGCTCTTAAAGTCATAGGCTATGGTGCTAGTGAAGTGATAAACTTCACTGAGGTAGACCACATAACTGCACTCCTCCACTCTCCTAGGTAAACCGCTTGTCATGCCTCTTAGTTCTGTTGTGATCTCACTTAAAGCTGCCAAATATCAACCAAAGTAAAGAGCAGAAAGTTACCAGGTGCTCTTCCTCTGGACTATTAAGCAACAAAACCCATCAAAACTATCTCTGTTTTAACAAAGAGGAATTTGTTAGTGTAATGTACCTGGGCAGTGACTAAACCCTGTCACTGTTCTTATGGGAAAAAGCTACTTGCTATTCTTGGTAAAGGGAAGGTCTTTCAAATCAAGATAATGTTTCACTTGTTTTTCAGAAATGAACTTAATGGGGGTGGGGAGGGAAGCAAGGAAGCAAAAATAAATTCTACTTTGCAACAAGTTAAATTACTCAGAGTTTCCCAAAATGAGAGGCTTGGTCAGAAGCACTGGAAAGTTTAAGAAATACTCCTTTAAAAACAACTCCCACAGAGCAAAGCTCCCTCTCCATGACCAAAAGGCATGTGAGCAAGCCAGATCATTCTGTCTAGGCTTTTTTTTTTCATAATGTAATTGATGGGGTGGGTGGTGGGGCCAGGTTGCACCTTTACCACTCCTTACTTTTTTTCCCGAGTTGTACCTCCGACCCGATTTTCCCCTCACTGCAGGAGCGAAGCGGGCACAGGCCACCAGCACATCAGTACCACAGCCATCCTGGCTGAGGGCGAGGCAGAAAAAGAAATTCCATCATCATTTCTGTCTATGCTTTCTCTGATCATCTTTGCCTGACAAAGCAGGAGGCAGAATAACGGCCACACGGAGATACCGTTTCTGCATGCTTTAAGCTCTTTGTTATCCTCAGGAGTTGCAAAGAAAGCATGACTGGCTAGGCATTGTGTTAATGATACTGTCAAGAGGCCAAAATAAAGTGCCACACCACAGCCCAGCCTCCTGCTATCAGCACTGCTGTCCCACACTCATTTAGGCAATCAGGGTAACAGGCTGGAGAATATGCCAGCGGTCTGGAAAAGGAGATCTCGACACTTGGCTCTTACTGATAAGAACCTGGATCCGCTCCGAATACGATTCTGCCAGATGCTGATTGCTATACACAGCACACCAATACTGTAGTTTTGCCACACAACTATTTTGCAACTATCAAACACACCTACAACAAAACCAGTTTGGTGGGAGGGACTTCCTTATATTTTCATATGTGGTTGCTGTCAGCAGGCTGAAATCTTGATAAGCTACACAGCCAACCTGGCTGACTTCACTGAAACCCTGCCGAAGACAAGTCCTGAGCTGAAAAGCTACTGCTTGTGCTTCCCGCTGCAAGACAAGAGAGGACAACCATATTCAGCATCTGGCCAAAACTTGTTTCCAGCTGTATCAAAGATCCATACAGATTCCATCCAAAGGTCAGCAGCTACAGTTTTCAATGAGGAATGCGCTGCTTCTGAGAGACAATGTTGTCACTGTGATCCACTTCCCCTACTCAAGGCAATCAGTCCACTGTTTCCACTGAAAATGAGAAAGGGCTTGAGACCTCTGAAATGGAAACTGCCTTTAAATCCAAATTATCCTACAGCATAAACACAGACTGATGCTACTTACAACAAGCAACTCTAAAAGACACCCTTTCTCCCTAGTTTCTCAGAAAAAGAAAAAACCAAACAAACAAAACCCACAAGTATGCCAAGAGTCCAAAGCATATGATTAGGCTGTAGTCATTCTGTAACATATTACACTTCATAGGTCAAAACCAAAACCATCCATCTCTATACTGTTTAAATGTGAATTTACCGGCTATCTAATTTCTGAAGCCAATCACAGGTTGATAAAGCTGGCTATGTAACAAGTTAATCTGTCCACGTCATTCACAATATGAACAAATTGAAACTGCATACATGTTTTGATTTAGGGTTTCTGTAAGAAAAAGACTATCCATTCTGGGCTCTTACAATGAAGGAACAGGGAATGTTGAAAGTATTCTTAGAGGCAGACATGGAAGGCAGTGAAGTGCAGAACTTACCTTCCACTGCAAAGAATGGAACCACTGATCCCTCAGGTAACTGTTTGCAGCCTGCAATAAACAAAAGTTACAAACAGAATCATTAGTTTCTACCAGTGTTTCAGATCGCCCAGCCAAAACTAAGCAAATCACCCATGTGTGCCTTAAAACTAGTAAGGCTGCGCTCGCCATATTCTTCTGAACTTTATGACCCTGGCTAACTGCACCCCCAGCCTCAGGAGGGAAACTTTTTTTCTCAAAGCTACAACTTTACATTACAACCATTTTATTTTCACAGAAAGCAGTGACACAAAGACCTTGCTGCAAATGTAAAATACTGAACCAAAACCTTACAAAACATTAACCTCCTATGAAACAGTGTCCAACTCAAAGACTGAAAAATTCTCCCTGATTTCAATCAGGTTTTGGTCAGATCTTTAATGTCTGTAGGACGTCTGCCTTTGCTATTAATCATCGGGAGCAGAGTAAGAAGATGGGTTGACATTTTACTAGGAAGGGGTGGGTTTTTTCCATACTCTAGTTTCCCTCCTTGTCCTGTTCCTCAGCTGGCCCCAAAGCAATTCAAATAACATCTTAGCTCTTTCAGTGATATTAAAACAGAGTGAAAAGCATAACACACACAGACGTGCAGACACATGCACAGACTGTTTGCAGCAACGGCATAAATGTTGCGATAATCACTCCCAGCGATCACCGTTTTTGTCAGTATTAAGCACAGCTGCCAGAAATTCTCAGTGTGAAGCCAGGTTCGTAGCCAATGAAGGAGCAAGTTAAACGCTCCCAAAGGTCAAAAGGCTCAGTATCAAAAAATACAAAAGCATCTACAGTGACGTACATATGCATGCCTTAACAAGGTGACATAAGTTTGAAATATTTGAGTGGGTAGAGATGCCCTCTGGCTTCTCCAGCTCTATCTCATCACTGCCAATGGGCAATTTTTACTTAGGATTCAAAACGCTTTACACAATCAGTGGAAATTATAGGATAGCCTATAAATCCATGTTTACAAAAAAAAAAACAACAAGTGAAGTTCTTCACCAGCTAAAACTCTCATACTTCTTGCAAATTAAAGTAACATTCAACAAATTTCACTCCCTAACACGTTTTCAGATAAGTTTCCAACATCCACACCACGGAATGAATTTCATTTCCTGACACTAGTTCAGTTCACTGATAATGGCAAGAATACTACAAGTTAAAACGTTGCATGGTTACCGAAACCGTGTTTAATCTCACGGTCAGATACTGATGTCACGGTGACATAAATCTGGCCTGATTTCTCTGAATTAAATGGAGTAATGCTTTTATATATGTATTACATATTATTTATTTATATATTAATGAGAATCAATTGCTCCTCCAGCAGATCTCTAGGTAATAAAGTAGAATACTATCAGAACTAATCCTGGCTGACGACGGAGTTTATCAAAACCAAACTTTTAATTTCATGAAGAATGCTGACCAGCAGAATACGAATTTGCTACGAACGGAAACAAAAAGCATTAACTTCCTTTTCTTTTTTTCTTTTTCTTTCTTTGCATGCAATGAAAAGAATGTAAAAACATTTAGAGCGCAGATCTTCAGGATATTTTGTTTTGCCAATATTTAGATTTCCCTTCTGTTATTTACACTGTATTTTATGCATATGTGTGCATTATAATATATTGTAAGATAGACCTTTTACCTATACACGTTACAGAACTGAATTTCAATTCAATATACTTTATACTATATTTTAATATAATAAAAGGTCAAAAATCGTTTGCTACAAAAAGCCTAAAGAACATTTTTAACATAATTTAAAAGGCATGAAGTAAATATGATTACATATTTCTTATCTTTGTCCAGACGAAACATTTTAAAAACTCACCAGCCTTCTTTGAAAGACTCAATTTCAAACTGAATTTTTTTTTTAAAGGAAGAAAACTGTTTCATGCAAAGGAACAAAAAACTTTCACTTCAAATGCTAGCAAAGCCCTTTAAAGAATAAGTAAAACAAAGTTTTTGCAGGCTTGAGCGTGTATACTAAGTAGTAGCACCAATAATAGTGCCAGTTACACACCCATTACTTCCTTAAAAAAAAAAAAAAATGCAGATTTAGTATATAGGAGCTATGCAAACTAAGATACTGTTATTTAAATGGATAAAATCCAAAGTATTCTAGGGAGATGATGTAATTCTCTCAAACGGGCAAAACATCAAGCTGATTTAGTCCCTGGTCTGACCATTACATGACTTGAACAAAAAATGCACCAAAGTCTAAAGCAAGAGCAAATGCTAAAGCCCTAAATGTGAACTGTTGAGAACTGTTGATTATTCTCCTACTTTTGGGGTGTCAGTAGCTACAGATTGTAAGATCATGACAAATAATTAGAAAACACGATGTGTAGACAGACTGTGCAACTGACTGGAGCCTTACATAAACTGGATGATGGAAACTATCAATGAGGACAACAGCATCAGTCAGAGGTAGAGACACAAGTGAACTGCAAATACTGGAGGAAAACCCAAACAGGCCAACAGAGGAAAGACTTGACAGCAGCAATATACAAAAAGCGTTTTAAAAGGAAATCTAGCAAAGTGACCAGATTCCAAGTGTGGGACCAAGCACTGTCCCACAAGTGTTGTCAGCTGTTGTAGAGAAGCGATCAAGAAAACTTGTAACTGGATCTAGGTTAGGAGTTTGAATCAGCCTAAAACTAGAAACCCTCAGAACTCGGGCTGTCATTCCTTCCGAGGAAAACAAAGACCAAGGAGACAAAGCGAACACAAAAGTGGAAAAACAAACCTTTATGGAATCCCCACACTTCTATTAATGATCAGGACTCAAAGGTAAGAGGAACTTGGAAAGCTAATGGTCATTTCACCAGCGCTCTTTCCACAGTGTTCAACACAGATAGACTGAATGCATTTAACCCAACCACCGTTATCTGGATGCAGCTGTCTGACACCACCATTCCCCACCTCTCCCAGGCAGCAGAGACTAATCCTTCCAGTGCACCCTTCCGCCTGCCTGACTCCAGCAAGCTGCAAAACCACAGCGATGTGCAGGAAACACTGGATCTTTTGCGGAGGACGATGAAGAGCTCACTCTTGCACAGCATTCCTTGTTCCTCCCTCCTCTTTTTCAGGCTTACACAGAGAAAGGGACTACAGGGAATACTTCTTTCTTACAAAAAGAAGTGGGAGCTTCATAGCATGCCAGGATGACAGAAGGGCCATCACGCTCTTGTCAGTGGTCATCCAGACAGCTGTCCAGCCAATGGCCACCTCTGCACACGCTGACTTATGCAAGCATACAGGTTATTGTGCATAACATTCCTGAAGTTTGGAGCAATGAGCACCAAGTATAAAGCAGTGGAGGGAACTACAATTCATTTATAGGGGGCTGCACACACACATTTACAGTTTTATGTGATGTGCATTCCTGGAGCCCAGCACATCTGCACTGAAGTCATCACTTCCCAGGAACTGACACCTACATTTTTTCACCCCAGCTGAGGGCAAACCTACTATATTTATTCAGCTCTAGGGTACAATAAAGAGGAGAAAATGAGACACAAAAGACTTTAAAACAGGCTTTCCTTAGGCATTCTGACCACACAGGGAAAGTTTTTCTTACTCTCAGCCTTGCCCACACAGTGGGACCAATTCTAATCTTAGAGCTACCTTTCCAACTTAGAAAAAAGATTCAACCTGGAAGTGTTTTGCCTGCTGTTGTTACAAACAGTCAATGAGATAGGAATGAAGTACAATGAAGATTTTATAACCTATCTATGTAAAACAATAGTTTGGGCCCCCTATGTGTCCGGTATGTTTAGGCCCCAATTCTGCTAAGAGTTTTGTCCTCAAATGCAATGGCTTTAGCAGGGTTGTGGGTAGCACACAGTCCAACTGACTGGAGCTCCTTACACAATGAAGGCCTCCTGTTGCTTTTGCACAATCACATAGCAGAACAGTACTTCAGAAAACATGAAAATGCAGCAGCAAAACTCTTAGAAGGCATAAGGAGATTCAAACTACTTGTAGCTTATTTATTATTATTCCAATGAGAAGGAAGAATACCTACTTTATGAATGCCTACTGTAGGTAGTACTTTTTTTTTTTTTTTTTTTTTTTAAGATGAGTTGATCCTAGAACCGTGTTCTGAAAGATTTTATATTTTAATTTTTGGGGTGTAAATGTTCGGTCAGAGAGAAAAAGCGACTGAAAAGCTGCAGTACCAACTTTACTCATAGGATTCTTTCATCAGCTTCAGAAAGACTGCTCACAGGAGGAAAACTGTGCAATAGATTAAATGCCTGCATAGGCAGTGCTTTGGTCAACATAAGTAAATCTACATCTCTGATCAAAAAGGCAAGTATTTTTCTCGGCACCCAAAAGACTTTTAGTCAATGAGTAGGAATACACTTTTTAATTAAAAAGCAGTGAACTTTTTAAAAGCAGATTTTCTTTTTCCTTACAAAAATAGGAAGCTGAACACTTGTTTCACGCCAGGATTACAGCCCCTGCAGTAATTTCCACCCAGGCGAGGAGACAAAATACGAACCTGCGTGCTGCTGAGAAACACAACACCTGAAACTCTGCAAGAAACCAACCACTCCAGAAATGATGGCGAAGACCTTTAGCGAATATAAATACTCACAGCTCCACTGATACCAATATGTCTACAGCAACAAGCATCAGCAGAAAATTTGTCATTTCCACCACACCACGCGTGCCATGCTACCAAGTTGCTTTAACATTAAGTTAGCACTACAGCATCCGTTTTTACTGGCATGTGCGTTATCTCAGAAAAATGCAAGAACAGGCTTGTCCATGTAGCAAAAAGTTCCCAGATTTCTCTTTACATACAGCCTCCCCAAGGGATTTTGCCATCCGAGAAGTCGAGACAGTAAGTGGGACCTGACAATCCAGATTCTGTTTTTAACTCTTCCTGGTTTTATTCTCTGTTTCTCTCTCCCTCCCTCGCTTGCTCTCTGGTCAGCAGGATGGGGTTTTGTTATGTTTTCCTCCAGCTGATATTCATTACTGGGACTCGTAAAATATTG